TACGACCCACGGTCGACACCTATTTAAGATAACGAATAACATTCGAGATTTTTCATTTGTGAGCTCGACGATCTGACAGTACATTATTGACCTTTATTGATGTAAACGACATGTTGACTTCTACCAAAAGTTTGAAATGTTCATCCANCACCTTTTTGTGTCCGTTCGACAGAGATATAACCTTCGACCGACGACGCCAGGTATTTCCGATACGACCCACGGTCGACACCTATTTAAGATAACGAATAACATTCGAGATTTTTCATTTGTGAGCTCGACGATCTGACAGTACATTATTGACCTTTATTGATGTAAACGACATGTTGACTTCTACCAAAAGTTTGAAATGTTCATCCATACATTACTACCTGATGTTCATTAGGTTTGATCAGGTTCATCGAACCGGCATGTGCGTTATGTAGTCAGTGCGCTATCGATCACTGGCGTCGACTCGGAACATAAATTACTCATAACAGCGCGTAAAATGAGAATTCAACGCGATATTCGAGGCATCTTATCTGCGACACCAACGTTTACTGATAACGTGATTTAGGAGTCCGTATGCTGTTGTCTTGTAAAGATAAGGTTTCTACCTGTTAACACGCATAACTTTGTAAAATATTGTGAAATTTGAGATATGGTTTTATTTTAAGCATATGGGAGACCGGGGCAAGATGAGATAGCTAAGACAAAACTCGCTGTACAAAGACAATTATACTCTTTAATTAAATTCTTTAAGAAAACAAGTAACCCTTATACATTTGTCTCTTAAAATTAATAATTTTATCATGCAAAATCACAGATTTTTTTTTGACAAATAATGATTAACGATAATGCGGCGAATTTCCCATCTTGCCCCATGGACGGGGTAAGATGGGAAATGCTACGGGGCAAAGGGAGTACGTATTTTAATCGGGCAGACAGCGTTCACAAATGTGTGCCTCGTCGTCTTCTTCATCTACTCCGGCACAGGAATCGTGTGCCCAAACATGGCAAATACTGCAGATAGCCCAACCATCGGTTGACTCTTAGTATAAGTAACCACAATAGATGCAGGCCCAGTCACCGTCCTCCAATTAAGATGAACTATATTCCGATTCGATTTCTTTGGCGAGTCTTTTAGCTTGACGCTGGGTTTCCGTCCTTTTTATCTTCTTATTTCCAACTTTATGTATTCGTTTTTTATCTTTTTAAATCTTCTGTCCATCAGTCTTCATCCGCTTCCGTTCATCCAAAAGTTCATCTCGCATCTGCTTCCGAGCGTATATTGTACATGGGTGGGATATGCGTTCCATGACTATGCTATGCATACCTCTTGCGGCTGTTGTTGGTTCTGGGCGTCTGTACGCGAGCCGGTAACGGTTTCTCCTGCCATGACAGTTTCTTCATTAAGTGGACTATCTATATGATTTCGCTGAGCCAACTGATAAGCTATTACACGAAGTTATATTCCTGTTAACCGTGCTTCCAGATTTCACACATTGCGCCAACTCATCTTCTTGTTTTGCTGTAAAACAGTTTTGAATCGTCACAAATGCCCATACTTTCCCATACTTAGTCGTTATCGGAATCAGTGTCGTCATCCACAGTATCACGAGCTTTTCTTACACGGCGGCGGAACATCATATGTGGCTGAGGCTCGAGGAAGCCCCATCCTGTTATTAAGAACCCATGAGACCCAGAACTTCAGGGTCCCATTTGCCACGATCTGTTTTTCGTTTATAGTTCCGAACCATTGTATCTGAGAAAAAAACTTTGTGAGGAAAGCAACAATATATCTTCCTAATATAGAAGTTACAACAATATGTACTTATACTTTTTTTTATACCACTAAATCGGCAAAGAAGCTTACAGTTTGCCTGATGGAAAGCGGTTACCGTAGCCTATGGACGCTTGCAAAACCAGTTGCAATACTATCGATAGGTAAGACACAGAAGGTTTTAAACCACAAGGAAGGGGCAAAACGGAATAGTATTCCGTTATGCCCCGATCATTGTGCCCCGACCCACATGTATTCAAATAAGTTGAAGCAATTCTAATTTTAAATCTTACCGGCGCAAAATCTAATCTGAATTTAAAGTGTTATAGTACTACAACACGCTGAGAATTAAAACATTATATTAATTCAAGTACTTACATGTCTGCACATCAGTTTCTTAACCAAAAACCGGATAAAAACACTTGCAAAATCAGTTTTTTTTCCTATACAACGCAAAAACGAGATCCAACACGTTCGCTCTGCTCGGACGCACTTGCGCAGTCTGAATTTCGTGCAAATGGCGCCGTTACCGGTCCGAACACGATTACCATTCATGGACACAAGATTACTTCCCGTCCTGCCCCGAACTTAATTTTGCCCCGGTCTCTCCCTACTTTTTCTACGCTGCACCTAAAACAAAACTGCCACTGGATTTAACTCAATATATGTTTTAAGTTTATGATATTAATATGACTATCTTCTATCTTACTTTTATTACGTTGAAACAGTTTAATGTATGGTCATAATAATTTGTGGCATAAAAAATACTGCGTTCCAATTTGAAGAGTGGGACAACAGCTGTGCAATTTAATTGAGAATTCACGAGGGTCTCATGTCTTAAGCTGGGCATCAAAATTTGGTGGCCACGTCTGCTGACGGTTTCGATGGTCATTTTATATTGCCTGGATTTTTTTTATATAATTTTGTCTGGGTGATGAATCTCTTAGAAGATGTCCGTAACCACGGGACGTGGTATAAGTAAGATTATTTCTGCCAATGCGACGGGAACATGACACTGCTAACCCCAAGCAGGCCGAAGCGTTTACGCAGTCATATGATCTTAATGATGGGAGTCTGTTGTCTGATCCTTCCCGAGGACGCGGTGCCGGTAACGGCCGAAACCGCCTTTACCTGTTGTCAGCACCTGCATTAGCCGAAAGTTCAACCATGGTTCATTATGACATGGCCGTCTACGTTTGCGGAGGGCACATCGTCACGAATACTTATAGGCTAGACCTTCCGTCTCCACATCCAGAGGCCTCGAAGGAGACGAGGTTTCGCACTATTCGGACTGCGAAGGTCACACTCGCAGAGGCAAGAATGACAGACACGCAGTAGTCCGTCCACCGGGATAGAAAAAAAGTGTCACCAGCGTAACAAAACAGCAAAAGACAAGAAGGCACATTTCCACACAATGCTGCCATCTGTTGTTGAGCCAACAAAATTGAAAACTTCCAACTGCAACTGCCATTATGGCCATGTCAAAATAATAAAAGTACATAAGTATGTAGGTACCACTGAAGTAGGAAACCCAGTAGGTACCTACGTAATTATGTAATTGTCGTCTGTCAACCGAAAATATGTCAGTTGTCAAACGCTGTCAAATCAAAGTAAGGGCCAAAAACCATGTAATAGGGATGCGATTCTGTTCGGTGTTTCAATCGATCACTAAATCGATCTAATTCGAAGTTTGCAGATTCGATCCAAATCCAAAAGTCGTAAGGATTGATTTCGTAAAATGATATTTATAAATAGTTTAAACTTTTATAAATGAAGATAAAATGGAGAATGGATTAATAATAAGAGTCAATAAATCACTTCGCACCAGAATTAATTAATGAGGACAAATGAAACAAATAAAAACCAAAGTAAGAATAAGCCGTAGATCATTTTCACACATGAACAAAAAGCTGTTATTATTTCCTTAATCGGTTAACAGAAGTTGTGTAGGTATGTGAGAAGTTTTTCTTTTTGAGAACAAAATGGTCTCATTGGTCTGGTGATATGGTTAGAAATCTTCAGTTAGTAAGTACATACGTATTAATAATCATATAACGGCAAAACCATAGGATGAAATGAAATGAAGCTTCTTCGTCTTCGTCTTATCTTAATTTGGTATCAATTAGGATGCAAGTAAATGAAACGTGATATAATGATTTAGACCTCAATAAAGTAGTGGGAGCTTACTAAGACATCAGTGGACTTTTTGGACTATAGACTCGAATTGTGGGCTGCCGTATGTTGGAGATGTGGTTTGAGTATGTACGGGTCGTCCGGACTTGTAGCGTAATTGAGGTAAAGGTAAGTAGGTACCTGAGAAGCCGTCGACGGTGTTCGGTTAATAAATTAAATACGACACCTTGCACACTAATGAAATGTTTATTCAACTAACACTGAGTCCACACGAAAATACAACACAGTCTATATTATTATAATTATTGATTGATATAAATATTATTGAATTGAAGGTTACGAGCACAGAAGAGATTCAGTTTATAAGTAGAAGACACTTTACACTTTACGACAATACTATTACGATAAACACAAAGAAAGCGCGTTATCACAAGTGAGGCAAAAGCTTCGAAAACAATACAACAGTATATAATTAGCAAAAGCGACGTGCGTTTAGTCTCGAGGTAAGTTTCGACTGGGGGCGTGGCTAGCCGCGATCAGCTGCGCAAGAGTATATTTTCCAGCTACCCGCGACATTCCGTTCAAGCGCGCGTGTCCACAGCGCAAACGAACGGGCGACCAGCTGATTGACGCGGTACGATAAATTGTCGTGTGTGTATGTCTGTTGTATTTGTAATGTAGTAATAATATATTAATAGATATGTTATATGTGTGAATGTATACTCTGTGTGTATTCATAATTATATGAAATAAATATATTATATAAGTTTTATATTGTGAAGAGTAAATGTGTGTGCATGAGATGTGGGATAAGCCCACAGGACGAACCCAAGAATCTACGACCAGCGACTTATTATCATTTTCCCATACTTATTTAATTTCACAGATTTTAAAAACTTTTATTAAGATACTTTAAAGATTTTAACCCAAAAAATTATTTATAATCATGTTTGATTGCGTTCTAGCTGCAACAAAACAAATCGAATCACAATTTCCTGCTAACTGAGAACGATTTATTAGTTAAGATCGATTTCAAAAAATCGATATTTTTGGTTATAGCTTTAATTCTTCGAATGGTCGATCTCAGATCAACATCCCTACGACGTAATCAAAGCTTGTTTTTTCGAACAATAAATGAAATGCGTGATAGTGCTACATATTTACTTTTTCTGTTTCATAATAAAATAAAAAATATATTCAATCAGTTGAAATATGCGCAGTGCTTATTACAATGGCTGGATTAAATATTGCTGAATGGACTGCGGACCAAGTAGCTGAATGGATGTCCGGTGAGTGTCCGTTTCATGTTTTGTACAGACGGTGAGTCAGGCTAGACTGCCGGCTCTGGTTAGACAAATAAAACCACTATATATAAGCCGTATAAAGTCTGTTTTTTTTAAAATATAACTCATATTATTCAGTTCTCTGAGACTACCTTATTCTGAATTTTATTGCACATGTAATGTAATAATGAGATATCACTACTGTGATTTGTAAATCATTACTTATTGGAAGCTGTGTTCTATGTTTACATTATCATTTCAGGGCTGGACGCATCTGTTGCCCAGTATGTCCCACAAATGCGAGCCAAAGGCTTAAATGGTACTAGATTATTGATGTTGAGATGTGATGACTTAGAGTACTTGGGCATGCATATCATCGGACACCAAGAGCTCTTGCTAGAAGCTGTGGAACATCTTAGGAACTTTGTAAGTTCTATTAGATAGAATTACAGATGAAAACCTTTATTTTTAACACACTTGGCTAAAACAGTGAAAAAGTACCCGTCGATACGTAATATGCAAATTTTTTATATTTTAATTGTTTATAAATCTCACAATAAACTGAGCATAGCAAGAATATGAGAGGATCTGTTAACAACTGATAGTGACATTAGTCAACATTTGTTAGGTGGAAGAAGTACATTATTTTAGCTCAATATCATGTAAGAAGATTAAATATTTGCTAATTGTAGCTTTGGAAGTTTGTTAATATTAGGGCTTTACTTACAAAGTTACTGTTTTCCAATACTGATCATTTGAAACAATTTTAGTATGGCTGGCAATAAATCAAAATTCAAATGAATTAATGTTAAATATATATGTAAGGGTAGGGTAGTTTGCCACAATACACATCGGCTCTGTATTTTATCGTGATTTAAAAATATTAAAATAGTGCCATTCCTTAAAAAGTGAGTTTAAGTACGCGTAATTGCCTGTACTCTGCAAGCTAAACTGTGAATACCAGCCAACTGTTTAAGGATTTAATGAATAATTGTAAAAATTACTCGAGTGAGAAGAACATAGTTGAGTATCATTTTGTGATCTGATCGAGGGAAAAAATCTACGAGGAGTGAACGGATAGCACAGAGTGTTGAACAAGCATAAGTTAGTGGGTTTGGAAAGATTTTCCGAAAAATGGTAATAATCTAAGTCCCTTTAATAATTATAATACCCATAAATCGCTACGTCAATTAACGTCATCTGCCGATGCTATCAAACTTCGTCACAACCCAGTCTTCGCATTATCCCGACTACTATTGGCCTCGCATTGAACGTCCGTTGAAATAGATACACCTAAGACAAGAGAGGGCGCCACCAGTATCAAAACAACTCGTTACTCGTTCTATCGTTACGCTATCTAACAATGGAAGAAATTTTAATTGCACTCAGAACCATCCAAAAAGAACTGGATGAACAAAAAGCGGCGAGAAAGTGACAGAACAAGTGACTCAAAACATAAATAAAATACTGGACGAAAAGTTTCATTACTGGGAAGAAAAATTCGATAATCTCAAAGCTGAAGTGCAAAATCAAGGAAAAAGACTGTATGTTTTAGAAAAACAAGCAAGACTAAGGAATATTGTCTTCTTTGGGGTGGAAGAAACGGAAATTTCATATTCAAACTTGGAAAGAAACTTAGCCAGTTTCATAGAACGTCACTTATCTATTAAACTGAATTCTACAGACATTCAGGAGGCTAAGAGAATAGGTAAGAAAGGAGAAAAGCCTCGACCAATTATTGTGGCATTTGTAACTTTGGGTTTAAAAATAGATATATACAAAAACAGAGGAAAACTGAATGATACTCCATACTATTTAAAAGAGGATTATCCACAAAACATTTTGGAAAAAAAGGAAGGAACTACAAAAAACAGGTACAGGAAGAGCGAGAGAAGGGCAACACTGCGTTCATCAAGTATGATAAAATGATAGTAATAAATAAGAACAAGAATACAAAAAATACTAATAAAAGAATGCTTTCTGCTTCACCCGAAACCCCCTGTTTTCATTACCGCCCTCAAGATGAGAAAAAGACTCAAGCAAGCAAGAAGAACAAAACACAAGCTCCGATACAAAGATCATCTAGTCTATCGGAGGGTGTCTTGAAACCGGGCATGCTCAACTTCCGCACTAAAAAATACTAACAACGCACTGATTTAGCAGAACAATCAAAACAGGAATATATAGACACTACCACCCCCCTCCCACAAGAAAAACAAGCAAAATACACAAGAAAAACATCTTCCAATACGGTTGGTCCCCGTGGAAGATTATGACCAAAACCCTCCAAGGAATCAAAAACAAAAAAACCTTCAAAAAAAAAAACCTTCAAAAAAAAAAAACCTTCAAAAGAAATTCTACATATTGAAATACAATGTCAGATCACCTATCACATGAACGTTTAATAGAATTAAACGAAGTATTGAAAGAATTCATTATAGGACTATCGGAAACAAGACGTAAAATTATACAATCCAGAGAAGATTGGCTATCCTTGGAGGAGGCCTTTACCCGAGAAGAGGTTCTTGCAAGTGGGAAATAATACCTTGTATTATTCAACAGATACATTATTTATTAGTTAAGCATTGCATTAAATTTTTGTTTTTATGTCACTTTTTTATGTCACTTGTAAGAAATAAAAGGCTTTTTATTTTTTATTTATTTTATTATTATTTATATATGTAAGGAATTATATTTTTAAATTTAGTCATATGTTCATTGATTATATACTAATTTGACTACATTTGTATCTTTTTCATCAATATGGACAAGATAAAAATACCAGTTATTATGGGATAAGAGTTTCATGTTGGTAGCAATGCTGCAATTTAGCTCACTGCTGTGATGATGTATACAGAGTGAACACTACAACAAATCCCAAGGTTGGTTTTTGTTTGAAGCTTTTTGATCTAAAAAATGAATGTTGTGGTTGCCTGAAAACTAAAGTAAAAAATGACGAATTAAAGGTGATAAGGGAAATTGACAATACTCAACATACTGCTGAGTTATCAACAGCTTTCAACATTAACATTAAAACAATATTGGTATATTTGCCTCAAATTGTTAAGGTAAAAAAATATATTCATAAATGGCTGCCACGCAAACTGAACGATCGCCAGCACAAGAAACACATTAAAGTATGACCTGTCTTGCTTAAGAGACACTGAAATGTGGCAATCTTGTCACTTGTGATTCAAAATGGATTTTTTGATAATCAAAATATTATACAGGGTGGCCCATAAGTCCTTTGATATGAAAAAAAATTTATTAAAATAAAACTAATTACATTATGAATTAAATTTTTATTTACATAAAAAGCTTAAAAAACGGGAATTATTTTTTGAAAATAACATCTCCTAAATGTAATCCGTTGCGATCACGGCACTCTTGCAAACGACGTCTAAAATTGTCGATGACTGCGCGGCACGTCACTGCTGAAATGCTTGTCATTTCTCTGCGGATGTTTTCTTTTAGGGCCTCAATTGACCGCGGGTTTGTGTCGTATACTTTAGCCTTAAGGTAGCCCCACAAAAAAAAATCCATCGGGGTCAGATCTGGACTACGTGGAGGCCAGGAAATGTCTCCTCTCTTAGAGATAACTTTGCCAGGAAAAAGTTGACGGATAACGGGCATAGCAGTGTTAGAGGTGTGAGAAGTGGCCCCATCCTGTTGAAACCACGTCCTGGCATTAAAGCCTGAAAAGTTTTGCAATTCTGGTATGAAAAACTCTTCGATCATAGCCACATATCGCTCCGACGTAACAGTAACTGCGCGCCCTCTGCCATCCTCAAAGAAGTAAGGCCCTAGGATACCATGGGCTGACATAGCGGCCCAAACAGTCACTTTCGGACTATGTAAGGGCTTCTGATGCTTAAGTTTTGGATTGATGGGGCTCCAATAGCGGCAATTTTGTTTACTAACATGCCCGTTAAGATGGAAATGAGCCTCGTCAGAGAACATTATGTTATTGAAGGAAGTAAACCGATTCAACATTTCATTCGCATAATTTTGTCTTTGAATACCGTCAGTTTCCTTTAATTCTTGAACCAACTGAATTTTGTAAGGGTGCATATGTAAATCTTTCTTCAAAATCCGTTGTAACGATGTCCTGGATACGTTTAATGCTCTGGCGCGCTTACGAGTTGACTGTGTCGGATTTTCGCGAATAGACTGTGTCACTGTGTCTATGTTTTGTTCCGTACGTGACGTCCTTGGGCGACCCAACCGCGGTTTATCTAACGTCGAACCGGTCTCCTCGAACTTAGCAACCCAGTTCTTAATCGTTTGAAGAGTTGGAGTGTCGTCAAAGTTGTGTAAACCTTTGTGTTCTCGAAATTTACGCCGCGCAACGGTTGCCGAATTGTCGTTTTTATAAAACTCGCGCACACAAAACGCACGGTCCGCTCCGGTAAAACGCTCCATCGCGACTAAATTCCCAGAAACCGAAGTTACTCCCCCCGCTTCCCCTGCACCGCTCACGCGCGCCCTGTTCGTTTTATTCAAATTTTACTTTTCAAAGGACTTATGGGCCACCCTGTATATTGATATTCTATTTAGCGAAATACAAACTAAGCACATATGATGGTTAACATGTCAGTTCATTTGTGTCTCCATTTTGTAGAATCTGCACTTAGTAATTCTTTTTTGAAGAGCAGAATAAGTACCTGCACTAATACACCACTAGTAAGCGCTCATTATATTGGTTAAACCTTGGTTCTGCACCGGGCCAATGCCCCAAACAAAATTCTTAAAAAAGTCATGGTAACTGTTTGATGATCTTGTTGGGTGGTCTGGTACATACTAGTACAAATCATCACAGCTTAGATGTGCAAAAAGTACAAAATGCCTTTGAAGAGTTTGTTGGCCCTAGTTGGTACACCTGACGTCTTCAAGAAGAGCATTGAAAAATTACCACAGTGCTGGAAGATATGCACTGATACCATAGGTGCATATTTTGATTGATAGAAATAAAATATATTAAAAAAGAATGATTAACTTTTGTATATACAAAACGGTACATTTTTAGTAAAATACCTACGAGTATTATTATTACTTCATGTCACTCAATGAAATATTTACACACACAAATACAGATACTGGTAAGTTTCTTGTTCTGGCTATTTCACAGGCTCACTATGACCAGTATTCACTCTTCTCTGAAATGAAGTAGATGCATTAAGTATTGGTTTAGTTTTTAAATGTGGATGATATTTTGATAACAAATTTTGCTTTGTTTACTGAGACATGAACATTTTATGTAGCTCTTGATGGGCAGATTAGTTCATTGCACAGTGTATCCACACCGTTTTGTTGCAGACATGAGCGGGCTTGTGTTTACGAAGTGGTGCATGCTAGTTTGACCCTCCATGCTTTATATCCAGCACAACACCACAGGAAAGTAGGGGTGTTTGAATATCAGCACATTTCCAAGAATCTGTTTTGGACAGTAATGTGTCTGGGCTACCCCTCTTTGCCTTTTCATGTTATTAGTTGCTCATGTTTTTTTAAATTTTTAATAAATTCATCTCACGTAAAAGATGTATAAAATAAACATTTTGATTTATTTGTTTATAATATCAAAAAAGTGTTAATTAAGAGGTGAATGGTATCAGTTGGATGGATGAATGAATTCAGCATCATTTTTAAAGCAGCACTATTAAGCCATATCTATATACAGATATAGTACTTGTTCCTTATTGGTGATAAGATATAATAATATGGTCAACTTTGCAAGAAGCAACATCTTGTCTGCTGAAAACCACTCATGTTTTTCATAGGAAGCATGGGATAGCCATTATACAAAATGAACTGTAGCTTGTTTTTCTGATGAAATTCCTCAGCAATACGAGCTGCTTCGTGAGTGCGTGCAGCAACTGGCAGTGCGCGTGTCGGTGCTGGGCGGCGCGCTGGCGCGGGCACTCCGTCAGCACTCTGAGGCGCGCCTCGACACGCAGACCCTCGCCGACGTGGCGCGCACCGTGCAGGCCGTCAAGCCGCTCGTCTGCTGGCTCGACCGCTGGGGCGTCGGCGCCGGCCTCGCGGAGAGCCGAGCCGCGCTGCTGAAGCTCGCGCTGGAGGCCGCCACCTGTGCGCAGCGGGACCGGTTCGCCGAGCAGCCCGTCCGCACCGTGGGAGCGGCCGCCGCCGCCGCCGCCGCCACCGCCGACTACATCGTGCGCGAGGCGGCCGAGCCCGTCGTGCTGCAGCCCGCCGCGCTCGAGACCGTCGTGCTGCGCCAGGAGGGCCGGCCGCTCGGGTTCGCCGTGGTGCCGTCCTACTGCGGACACAACCAGCTCGCGCACATCAAGTTCGGGTCTCCGGCGCACGCGTCCGGCGCCGTGCACGCGGGGGACGAGCTCGTGCAGGTCGGGGCGCGCTGCGTGCTGGGCTGGAGCGCGCCCGCCGTGCTGCTGCAGTGCGAGCGGGAGGCGCGCCAGCACGACCTCGCGCTCCGGCTGCGGCGCCGCACCGCGCGCACCCCCGCCGCGCACCTGCAGCCGCGCCGCGCCCGCCTGCACATGCACGCGCATCTCGAACGGTACCCGACCTCCCTCGTGCCGTGCTGACGCGCTGACGTGCCGACGTGCTGTACCGCCATATTGTTGCAGTACGTTGCTGGAGAGCCCCCGCGGTTCGATTTTGGCGGCGGTCAACGGTGAGCCGGAGCCCCGGGCGCCGAGCGCGGAGGCCGCGGTCCCCGGGGGTGCTGCGGCAGACGCGAAGGGCGCGGAGGCGGCGGCGGGCGAGTCGTCGGACGAGAGCGAGCCGCTGTCCCCGCCGGCGTCCCCCACCCAGCTGCACCCCGACCGCGCGAGGTGCCGCACTCGCACTACGTTACTTCACTCGTTTTAGATTGTACTAATTATAATTCATTAGAAGTATACTACAAGTGGAAAAAGAACTATTGTGACGCAGTGTAAGCGATCACTGTTCGCTTCATTTTAATGCATAGACGACTGAACCACATCACAGTCCATTTGGTGTTAACTGGTTGCCATAGTTTTGTTCGCATTTTTAATTCCTTTTATCATGGAAACCATCCTTGAATATGTGCCAAGTGTGTACTTCGTTAGAAAACTAAGCCAGTTACCTGCGTGAGGGCCCGGGGCCCGTCACGGCGCTATAGACAGTGAAATGCGCTGCTGTTATTTTCAAGAAAACTAATGACAGTGAAGCAGGAATATCTAAATAATAGTACATAAACCAGAGACTATCAGAATGTTGTTCGGTCTGTCTGTTTGTATGCATCTCTATCTACCGTCAGTTAAATAGGTTGTCGTTGATATTGTATGTAAAAAATGTGTGCGTGTACTAGTGTACACACGTAAGAAGTGAAACTTGTTTATGGCCTTATTTTTCGAAAAATGATCTACATGCAACTTTCTAGAAATTGGTTAAATAAAGTTAAATTAGATAAAGTTTAAACAAAAGGATTTTATTATCATAGACATGAATACAAAA